GCAGTCAATGATTTCCAGATAGGCAAGGGAGCTTGTTAAAAAAAGCAGATTCCCTGGACCCAGCTCCACAGACTCTGAATTTACATCTGTAGTTGGACTCAGGATCTACACGATTTAACAAGCATTCAAAGTAACTACTGCAAGTAGTCAGGGTGAGCACTCTGAGGAATGCTGCAGTGTTTTACCTCAAGTAAGATCTTCAATTATAAACAAGATAAGCTAATGGAAACAAGGTTAAGTGCCTCACTCAAGTTTAGAGTTCCAATTCCTGCCAGGCCAACAGAGTTAAGTCTTCCACCCTCAAACCTTTGCTATTTCTTCAGCCTTTCCCAATATCCAGTTCCTCCCCACTTTCAAAGTCAAATTCGAAAAAAGGTTTTTCCTGGCTACCTGGGTCTCAATAAGGTTGCACTGTTAAGTTTCTGATATCTTTTTTCCACAGCTGGAATAAGAAGTTCCCGGGGGAAAACTGAGCTTTTGCTTTTGTATCCCTTTCACTATAAGACATATGAAATATGGTGTTCCTTTTTTACTGCCTTCAATTTGCAAGCAGCATCCTGCTTTTCCCCAAACAAAAACTTAGCAAAGTGCTGAAACATATGAATACTAACCAACTAATAACTAACTAAATGGAAGCTTGGATTTCTTAACCCTATAAAGCAGCGTTCTTCTGTGGGTCACCCCTCAAATCAAATGTGAAACTAATTTAGTAAGTCACAAATATCATTAAAGAAAAATAGAATAGTGTGAGGGAGGGGAGTATTGTAAAATGTTTTCTCTAGGTTGTGGTCAAAAACTTCTGAAAGCCACAGTTTTGTAAATGTTGATAAACTTCTCCAACACATCTTGACTGTTAGGTAGGCAAACATTTTCTTATGCAATTAACACTCAACCACTCTGTCAGCCTTCCCATTCTCTATTCTCCAAAGCTAATACTGGATTTATTTATTCATTCCCCCTAACACAAATACTAAGTTTGATGAGTAATTTTCACAGCACAAGTTCCACAGGGGCCTGTCTGTGTTCCTTCTTCAGATGGGTCATCTAAGTATTGTGATGCGCTTCAAATGGGCTCTTGTTAGCACCTGTCTGTTAAACCAAATCTGTCTGAAATTCGAGAGGCGCAAACAGGGCTTTGAAATTTTCACAACCTGTTTCATCCACACTGGTCTTAGGCTTATAAATGAATGTGATTTTTTAAAAGCACCTTCTTTCCTATCTTGGAGCCAGGTTTCCACCATAACATTACTTTCCAGTAAACTTTGATACTCTACTATTTTAAATATAATTACATAGTTTCCAAATCACTTCTATTTTCTCTTCTCCTAACCTAAGGCAGTAGCCATACTAACAAAGTTGTACCCTTTTCTAGTTCTTGTACATATCTTGTATCCTCTTCACCAGCAGGTCTAATCTAGACCTAATAATGCAGTAATTGTGACTTGTCACAGCTCTAACACAGTGTCATCCTTTGTACTGTCACCAACCATACTCTCATGACTTTAGCTTGAATTCACACCTGACTGCCTCCATAACTTTGCTAAATTCTTCCAAATCCCTCCCACTCTCTAAACCTCATTTACACTGTGCACACCTCTACAGCACCTGTCAGTCCACAAGATATTAGAATTATTTTTGAATCTGTCTCCTATATTAGTTTCCAGGACTAACTTTCACGTACATACCGCTCACTGTCCAGCAAAAACCAGAGGGCATCTCACACAGAATCTTATTGTGCTGAAAAGGTGAGGCGCTAAAACCAGCGGCTATAAAAATAGGTTAGGAGTAGTTTCCAATTTTGCACACCCTCCATATTCTGGTCAACTATACGCTATTTTTAAAGAAGTAAAATAAAACCATGAAAGTTCTAATGGGAGACTCATGGGGGACATGGCAATCAAGGCTGCATAAATAAAAGGCGAAGGCACGATAAGACGGTGGTGATGCGCTCTGCCTTTCCACACGTGGTCCGGTAAATGGGCGCCTGATCCCTCTTCTCAGCCCGGCACCATTCTGCTCTGTCATCCTTTTTACCCTATTTCAAAACCTCCCACACCGCTCCGCTGAACTTGCCTTGGCGCCCTCTGAGAGAGCCGTGTACCTCAAGGTACGTTAGAAGACAGACTCCCTCTTGCCGGGCTCCTGTTTCGGCCTCCAGGGGCCACATGCACCAGAAGCAGAGTGGGCAACCATTTCCCTTCTAGAGCCCTAACTAAAATGGAAGCGCGTCCAGACCTGGGTACCTTTAATCCTCGAGTAAGCCCCGGAGTTTTTAATTCACCGTTATCTCCTCCACTGCCTCCCACCTCGGCGGGACCTGAAAAGCACGCAAGCTCTTGGATTCCAGGCGCAGTCTTGCCACAACTTCCCAACGCCACCATAAGGTCCCGTCGGCCTCCGCAAACACAGGCAGCCTAACCAAGTAGGCCTCGGGAGGGGGGTGGGGGGGGGGGGGGGAGGTGCAGCGGCTTGGCATGTCATTCGGGCGGTCAAGGGTCCCCAAACTGTCTCGCCCTCCGGGGGGCTTTTATTTAAAAGTACCCCCCAAACAGTCTAACTTCCTTCCTCCAAACCGATCTGCCCCCACGGGGTCCTATACTTCCTGAGTTCCCACCATTCCCCAAGAAACGTGTCCACCGATCGCCGCCTCCACCTGGGAGGCTGCATCCCGGCTCTCGACTATGTTCCCTCGGTCCCCTTTGCCGGATTCCGGCGGGGGCGGCTGGGGTTTGGCCTCCCTATCGCTCGACGGGCGGGGGGGACCGGGCCTCATCTCGCTTGGAGGGGGAAGTCTCATGGTTTTTCTCGAGTTGCGGCTGGGGTTTGGCCTCCCTATCGCTCGACGGGCGGGGGGGGGGGCTCCCCACCCCCCGACCACCCCGCCGCTCCTCCCCTACTCACTTTGGGCTTCTCCGGCAATTTCTTCCGGTTCTTCTTCTTTTGCTCCTCGCTCCTGAGATTCTTCAGCACGCCTTGGTCGTCAGCGGCCGGGGCCGGCGCGGCGACCGCCGCCTCCTCCCTCTTGCGGGGCGGGCTCCTCCGCTTCTTGCGGGCGCCGGCGCAAGCCGCGGCCCAGCCGTATCCGAGCAGGAAGAGCAACAGCAGCCCGAGCGCGCCCGTGCCCACCAGGATCACCCAGCCCGGGTACCGCTTCGGCTCCAGCCCCAGGTCGAGGCCCAGTTCGGTGCGCAGAAAACCCAGGCCGACCGAGAGCATTTCCTGCAGCCGGGCCGAGCCGTCTTCGGCCTGCTGGGCCAGCTCGTCCAGCCAGCTCCGTGTAGCCATCTTCCCTCCCCGTCAGGGGGAGCGGGGGGACTCACAGGATGACGCCGGGCCGCTGAGACGCCGTGGAACAGTCGAGGGAAGCGAGGACGCGCCGGGGCCGGACCGCCTCAGGCCGAGCGCATTGCGGCCGCCCCTCGCGCCGGAGCCGGGGATCGGCCGCTGTCGCTGCCAGGAGGACAGGGGGGGCGCTACCCCGGTTTCCCCCTCGTCAGAGCCTCACTCCGCCGCCGCCAGAGGAGGGGGACGGCGGGAGGGAGTGTCTCCAGTGGCGGCCGCTAAGCGGCGTCTCCGCGCCAGTGCCGGGCCCCAGCTGTCCTCCCTCGGCGGAACAATGGCGGCTCCGGCCGCGATCCACGCAGCGGGAGGCGATGGGGGGGGGGCGGAGCGGGGCCGTGGGTCACGTGGGCCCCCGGTGGGCGGGGCGTGGGTGTCACGTGGGCGCGGGCGAGGCCAGGCGGGGCGGAAGCCGTTGGAGGGAGCGCGCGGCTGAGGCGGTCGGCGGGGACGTTTTTCGGCGTGTGCCGGAGGCGCGCCGAGCACTGGGGACCGGTGACTCTGGCGGGAGGTTGGGAGGGGTTCACTGGAGGAAGCCTCTGAGGGATGGCTGGTGGCTAGGAGCTAGGAGACGTGGCGCTTTGAATGGGTTCTAGGGGAGGGGCTCTTGAGGAAGCCTGGGGGCTGCGGCGGGGCAGGGGAGGTGGGGGGTGGAGCGTGCAAGAGGGTGAAGAGCTAGGATGTGAAAGTTGGACTATAAAGAAAACTGAGCGCCGAAGAATTGATGCTTTTCTTTTTTTTTCATTTATTTTTATTAGTTGGAGGCTAATTACTTTACAGAATTGATGCTTCTAAACTGTGGTGTTGGAGAAGACTCTTGAGAGTCCCTTGGACTGCAAGGAGATCCAACCAGTCCATCCTAAAGGAGATCAGTCCTGGGTGTTCATTGGAAGGACTGATGTTGAAGTTGAAACTCCTGTACTTTGGCCACCTGATGCGAAGCGCTGACTCATTTGAAAAGACCCTGATGCTGGGAGGGATTGGGGGCAGGAGGAGAAGGGGACGACAGAGGATGAGATGGTTGGATGGCATCACCGCCTGGATGGACATAAATTTGAGTAAACTTCGGGCGTTGGTATTGGACAGGGAGGCCTGGCGTGCTGCAGTCCATGGGGTCGCAGAGTCGGACACGACTGAGCGACTGAACTGACTGAGGAACCAGGTCACGGGGTGTAGGTCAAAGTCGCCCTAGTAGCTGTTTGCTTTTCTCCGTTCTTTTTCTGGGAGTAGTGTTGGGGTAGAAGCAGCTTCTACTCACTGTATTACGGGTCCAGCTAGACTCCTCCAGAGTTGAGCTCAGTTGAGTCCGAAGCCGGCTCACTCTTCTTTCGGGGCCTAGGTTTCGTTCACAAATTAGGTTTGTCTGAACTTAACACGTTGCGTGGCTACAGTTTGCCTGCCTGACCTAGGGCGCTTTGGCGTAGTTTTCGCTCCTTCGCTTTTGGCTTTCGTTCCTGTCATTCGCCAGAACTCAAAAAGGTTGGAAGGCACGTGGGCAGTATTATTTTCCTATTGCAGTTTAATAAGTAGGCTCAGGCGGTAAAGCGTCTGCTCGCAAACCCGGAGAACCGGGTTCGATCCCCGGGTAGGGAAGATCCCCTGGGGAACGAAATGGCAACCCACTCCGATACTCTTGCCTAGAAAATTCCATGGATGGAGGAGCCTGGTGGGCTACAGTCCATGGGGTCGTAAAGAGTCGGACACGACTGAGCGACTTTTCACTTTAACTTTCACAATGTGAGGCGTATTGGATTGTGTTTTACATGTAGATGAAGTAGTTCCCTCGTTGCGTTCTATTTTAAGCTTTTGTGCAAGATCACAGAGAATTTCCAAAAATTCTTTTTTGTATGCTGCGTTGACCATATCTGGGTAACATTAGGAAGAAGTGAATTTTCAGATCTTAAAAATACAAAGATGATATTCACGGCTGCCTTAGGGTTTTGACGTTATGTTTCCCTACGAGAAAACTTGATGTGTTATCGTTAAATAATTAGCATTTTTAGCAAGAGTCTTAACTAAATACAGGCTTTCTCAAAGAATAGAAAGGGGAGTAATATTAATAAGTACCGAATGCCAAAAATGTATTTAGGAGTATTTTGACCTATTTTGCAACTGTGTTGTAATGCATATTGTGATTAATGAGTGAAAGGGAGTTTGGTAAATAATAAACTGTTACTCTAGCCAAGCTTTATACAGACTTACAATTAAAGACTGTAATTAAAGACTGTAAATTACAAGGCCAAAAACTTGGAAGCTGTCATTGGAACTACTTTATCTCTAAAAGGTTCCAAATTCCATTTATATTTATGAAAGTAGGTTTACAATTTTACATTTATGTTTCGGTTCCAGAGACATGAGGGATATCTTTCCTAAGAAGCCCATTCTAGGTGAACACGTGAGGGCTTATGAATTAAGCTATTATACAATAATAGTAGTTGGATATCCCTGTTCTTTGGCAGTCTAGCAAATACCGATTATGTAAAATCCTATCACCTTTCTTTTTGTGTGTGTGTGACTCCCCTTTGACCTTAAAAAGAAAATGTTTACTGTATTTGGTAATACAGATTAATAATCATTTTTCACATATAGTTTTGTCATCTTTTAAAGTATTTTAAGAACAAAAATTGATTCATACACTAATTACTGTTTTGTATTTAATGACAAATGCAAAGTGACATTTTAGTGACATCAGTCAGCATTCATGTCACTTGATAGAACCCAGCTGATAAAACTCACCAGGAACATACCAGCAGCCCCACAATGTTGGGTTTATTAACTTGCTGCAGAATGAAATTTAGGTGAAATGTAAATGAGGCCCTGCTTTGAAAGAATCAAAGCAAAGCAAGCGGTGTCTAAAAGAGAAAATATCAAGCCTGGCCTGGAACACCCTAATTCCTTGAAAATGGTGAAGTTAAAAGAAATATTAGATGTCATTGCTGAAGCCTCTTTTCTTGAAGCAACTGGATTGGAAATGAAGACTGCTAATTCTGAGTCAAAATGACCCATACAATGAAATACCACGCAGAAATAAATACATGAAGCGGCATAGCTGAATCTCAACACAAATATGCCGAGTGAAAGAAGCCAGGCAAAAAAAGAGTATGTAATGTATGATTTCATTTGTATAAAACTAGAAAATGCAAACTGATCTGTAGTGACAGCAAATCAGTGGTGATTTGAGGAGGCGAGTGAGAGCAAGGAGTGTTGGGAGGGAGCGATTATAAAGGTGCACCAGGAAACTTTGGGGAGTGATGGATATGTTATCTTTATTATTCTGGTTTTATGGGCCTGTGGGTTTTATGGGTTTATATATGTCAAAACTTACCAAATGTGTACTTTAGATATTGTAGTTTATGTCAAATATACCTCAATAAAACAGTTTACAGTTTTTTGAAAAGTGACTCACGTGGAAGGAATAGCTGCATGCAGGAGTGGCATGCTCCATGTTCACTGATCGTATTTTTAACAAAGTTTTTACCAATCTATAATTTTAAGGTTTCTTAGCAGTATATACTTGATGTTAATTTTTTTAAACAGGTTTGCAGAATAAATATTCACTTATTCTATGATCTGTCTCTATTATATAGTTTATTTAACATAGTTTATTGTTGGATAGGTTATTTACAAGTTTTTTTGTTGCTGTTCTTGTTTTTTGCCATTAAATGCAATTCTGTCATGAATATGCTTATAACTAAATAGTTTTGTGAATACCCATAAGAACTTTGTGCTTCGTGAGGATAGACTCCTGGCATTGTCATTGCCTGAGCCATAGCCCACAGTATGTAACACTTTTAGTTTGAAAGTGTTTTTGTTTTTACATCAAGGCAATTTATTAACAAAACAACAATTTGAGGAGTCCTGTTCACAGATGGTGACCGTGGAGACCCCTCTTCTTGCAGGTGCTGTCAGAGGGGATGGAGCTTACATTCTCAATCCACCCAATCTTCATCCCTGAGCGGGCAAGGGCTTTGAGCACTGACTGGGCTCCTGGTCCAGGAGTCTTGCTCCTATTTCCTCCTGTGGCCCAGAGTGTGATGTGGAAGGCAGTGATGCCCAGTGCCTTGCATCTCTGGGCTACATCCTAGGCAGCCAACATGGCAGCATATGGAGAGGACTCATCTCAGTCAGCCTTCACGTTCATCCAACCAGTTACACGGCAGATGGTTTCCTTGCCTGAAAGATTGGTGACATGGACAAAAGTGTCGAAGGATGCAAAGGTGTGGCACACACCAAATACATTTTCTTCAGCCATCTGAGGGCCAAGGCTGATGACCTGTTCTTCCTTCTTTTCTTTCCCCCTACAAGGTGCCATTTCTGCACATCTTCTCCAGACTCTTATCACTGGAAAGAGCTTAGTTTGGAAATTTTAAGAGACCTGAAGAAGTTCTACCTAGAGCCTCTCATTTCATAGAAGAGAAGAAAGGTGCTTCAGAGGGTTAAGGGTGTACCACAGAGTGGCTGAGTTCGTGGTAGAAGCCAGTCTTAACTGTTCTTGACTCCTGTTCTTGATCCTCTTTTTCTGTATACTCTGTGATTAATTCTTGGGATTAGTGTGTTTGTGTTTGTTTGCTCAGACTACCAAAACAAAATTCCGTAAACTAGGTAGTTTAGACAACTGAGATTTCTTTTCTCACAGTTCTGGAGACTGGAAGTCCAAGATCAGGGGACTGGTTTTCTTCCTGGCTTCCAGATGGCCACTTCTTTGCTGTGTCCTCACATGGTAGAGAGAGAGCCAGTGAACTCTCTGATATCTCTTTTTATAAAGATACTAATCCTGTCAGATTAGGGCCCCACCCTTATGACTTCATTTAACCTTAATTTCTTCCCTAAAAACCTTATCTCCAAGTAACAGTCATGTTGGGGTTAGGGCTCCAACATGTGAATTTGGAGGGGGAACAAACTTTTGCATTTCAGTAAAGCTTCCCAGGTCCTGCAGTTGGTGGGAATCCACTTGCCAATGCAGGAGATACCAGAGACTCAGGTTTGGTCCCTGGGTCCAGAAGATCCCCTGGAGGAGGAAATGGCAACCCACTCCAATATTCTTGTCTGGAAAATTCCATAGAGAAGCCGGGTGGGCTACAGCACATGGGGTCACAAGGAGTTGGACACATAAACAAGTTATGTGTAGAGGGTTGCAAATGAATATATACTGTTTTTATCTCTTAAATTAGGTTATGGGTTTAAGAGTGCTCTTTAATCTCTACTCTTCATATACCTGAGATACTTTGTAATTAAATTTAACTGATAAAAATTAAATGACAAAAGCTATAGTTTACATAGAAGCTAGGCAAAATAATGGAGGCTCCTGTGACTGTACAGTTGTGGGGTTGCTGTAATTTTACAATGGGGAATGATATACTGGACCGTATCTGTAGGTATCCCTTTAGGCCTTTTAACCCCTTTTGCTCTGATTTCATGCTCAGCATGCCACTTATTTTGTAATGAGGCATCTTTACTATAAGATGCGCTGACTTAAGTAATCTGATTGACTTTGACATTATATTTACTAGTGTAAATCATACATTTTCCGTGGAGCAATATTGCTCCCACGGGATTTTTCAGTATTGGTTTTGGGGACAAAAAAAAAATTTAGCGTACAAAGTACAGATATAATACACTACATGTACAGATATACAATATATATGTGACATTAAAACTTCATAGGAAAGAATATCTAAAAAGGCCCTTAAAAGGGTGATAATGAATGAATGAAAAATACTGCTGCAAAGAAAGAAATTGGCACTCTGTTTCATCAGTTAGACGCCTGTGGTTTTAGTTACTCAGTTTCTGAGGATCATTAATTCAGTCTTTTTTTTTTTTTTTTTTGCCTGTGCCGGGTCTTCATTGCTGCTCAGGCTTTTCCCTAGTTTTGGGGAGGGAGGGCTACTCACCAGTTGGCAGTGCACAGGCTTCTCTTTGTGGTAGCTTCTCTTGTTGCGGGGCGTGGGCTCTAGGCTTGCAGGCTTCAGTAGTTGCTGCTCCCAGGCTCCAGAGCACAGCCTAAATAGTTGTGGCCCACAGGCTCAGTTGCTCCATGGTGTGTGGGATCTTCCCATACTAGGGATTGAACCCGTGTCTCCTACATTGGCAGAGATACTCTTCACCAACTGAGTCCCCAGGGAAGACCCTATTCAATCATTTCTTCACTGGACATTTATTGAATCCCAGCTCTTTGGTTTAAATGCATGCTCTTTGTCCTCAAAAATCTCAGAGCCTAATGAGAACGATGGATCCTTTCTTAAATGGCTTAAATGCAGGAGAGTATCACTACGGTAAACTGATTTAAGCATGAAGATTGTACTGAATGCTGTGATGTACCTCCCAGGTCCTGCTTTGGTAATGAAAGAGTTTTCCCACAACTCTGGGAATGTTGCCAGTGAATTTGAGGTTCTTTCTTCATTGAGAATTCGAAGATGAAGAAGGTTAAGAAAGTAAAGTGAAAGTTTATTTAAGCAAGGTTTCTTGCCACCTGGCCCCTGTCCTCATTTCTCTGCTCATACCTAGCCACTTGCCTACTCTTAACAGGAGTATTACCAGGGGCCATCTCTTAGGTGTCAGATTTTGGGGAAATGACTGAGGAAAATTTCCTCAGCAAAGGTCATGTCCCCATTCAGGGACAACCTACATCCAGTGACTCATCAGCCTGGGGCTGCACAGTCCTGGCCTTGTCCCACCCTGGGTCAGTTTTGAAAGACCATCCCAGCCCCACAGTACTCCTTGAGCTTGGCTGAGGATTGTTGGTACTGTGTCTCAGCCCAGTTCTCGCCCTTCTCAGTCCGGTTTCCTTCTCCTTCCCCTGGTGTTGGTTCCAAGAGCACTTCCTTATATGCTCATCTAAAATTCTACTTCACAGAGAACTTAGTCTGTAACAGTTTGATGAGGGTTTACAAAGTGATATCACCAACAAGGGAAAGGTTATTTCTGTATTTGAAGCAGTGGAACACTTTCAAATATTATATATTTAGGTTCAGTCTAGGAGGATGAGTAGGATGCTGCTATGAAGAGAAGGAAGAGAGTGGAGAGGAAGTTCCAAGCATGAGGACCAGCAAAAGTGAAGACTGGGACATGAGAGAGCATGGGATGCTTGGATTATGGTGACCACTATTCTATAACTAGTGATAGAGTCCTTAAGATTTTGTGGAGGGATTTGAAGAAGAAGAAATTCTTAACAATGACTCAGGTTTCTCACTTCCAATTGGATAGATGGTGGTGCCGTTCATTGAAATAGGGAATATTGGGAAAGAGCTAAGTTTGGCAATTCGAGATTAGTAGCTTTGTTTTATACACATTGATTTTGAGAGTACAAATTATCCAGATAAGTTATCAAATAGGGAGGTACACATGGATGTGGGCTCCAGGAGAGAGATGAGAGCTGGGGATACCCCTTAGTTTCTTTGCTCTGTTCACACTCATTTCTTAATCACTGATGCTTTCTACTCTTAAAAACCCTTTGCACTGTGCATGAAATTAATTGATTGCTTTTCCTAGTTAACGTCCACTTATTCTTCCTATCTCAAGTGAAACATCATTTTCTACTAGACTCTGTGCCCAGCACTTGACCAGGTCACTCCTCATGTTGCGTATATTTATGGCACCATGAAATTTCATAGTACTCATTGAAATTATTTCACACTTATTCATGTGACATTTGCAGAAGACTCAAAAAGTTTTTGAGAACATAATATACCACAAACCCTGCCATTTTGGACTGAAAGGGACAAAGAGTAGAAAACGTAAAGAACACATGGAACTTCCAAAACTTTACTGGCAAGAGGCAGGCTAAGAAAATTACTCAGTTGCAAACTGCACTACTTTTCTTGAGAAAGAAATGGAGATTCAGAGCATAAAATCAAGGGTCCAGAGGGTGGAGTTAAGACTCATGGAGAATTATTCTAGACTTTGAAAATTAATCCAGGGACTTCCAACATTTCTGAGCTGTATTTCAGGATTGCTATGGACAACTGATGCCTTTGTACCTCTAATTTCCCCCGGTTTGAATGGGAATGTCTATAGCTATTTTCCTTTGCTGGTAGCTCCATTGTGTGGTGGATGTCTAAGGAGAAGAAAACTTGTGTTTAGTTTCACAGTTCCCTCAAATTGGAAGAGATTGTGCTGCAGGAGATATCATGAACAAAACTACACCTAAGGAGCTTCATCTGTACCTGGACCTGATTTAGATGATGAAATCCTGGATTTGAGCAGATACTCTAATGGGATGAATATACTGAGGACCTTAAAAGAGGACGAATGTGTTTTGCGTGTAAAAGTGATGTGAGTCACTGGGGACCAGAGGGTGGACTGTGGTTGGCATTTTCCAAGATGTCCCAATGATCTCTGCCTTCTGGTATTTATGAATTTGTGTAACCTCACTCCCTTAAGTAATTTCCTTCTGAGAACCAATATGCTACCTTAACATTGAGAGAATGTCTTTTCTGTGATTCAGTTAAAAAAGATTCTGCATTCCATCTGGCAAGCCGACCTTCTCCCTTCATGTCTCTGATGAGGCAGGTTGCCGCGTTGAAGAGGCACAAGTGGCAAGCAACTGAGGGCAACAGCCAGTTGCAAACTGTGGCCCTCAGTCCAGCAACCAAAAAGAAACTGAGTCCTGCCAACAACCATGTAAGTGAGCTTGCAAGCAAGTCTTTCCTCAAGTGATCCTTCAGATGAGACCCCAGCCCTGGCTTATGCCGTGGTTGCTGCCTTGAAGAGACGTTGGAGAATCTGGAAACTATGAGCTAGTGCATGCATTTTAAGTTGCTAAGTTTGTGGTAATTTGTTACACAGCAGTAGAATTAATATATCTACGATAGTGTTAAAGTTGGAAAAGATGGGCAAAAGTCAGTGTTTACAGGGCAGTGGGGGAGCATACATTCTCGTACAGTATTGATGAGAGTAAATAGGCACACAACTTTCTGAAGGCAGTTTAGTAACACAGACATTTAAAAAATCTGAAACTCAAAAGGCAAATGATTTTTTGATCCCGCAGAATCCATTGCTAAGAAATTGTCCACAAGAAATAATCAGACAAATACACAAAAGTGGAATCACATAGTCATTACACTGTAGTTTACAATCTCAAAAAATTGGAAGCAACCAAAGGAAGCGATTATTTGAATGTGTTGTGATATATATAAGGATAGGAATGTTATACAGCCATTAAAGAATATGACATATATCTATGTATATCAATTATTCACTGACATGAAAAGCCTACCTCTTAAGTGAAAACATCAGGTTACAGAATAACATGGGTATCAGATCATTACAATTTTAGAATATGTGTATGTATATACATGGATTGAGAGGCATCTGGAAAGACAATCCCTCAAATCTGTACAGCAGTGTACAGCAGTAGGATGTTTTTGGAGGTTTTTAAAAAGCTTTTTTCTTTATACTCTTCTAAATTGTTTGAATATTTTATGTGAATATATGTGCTTAGTCACTCAGTTGTGTTTGACTCTTTGTGACCCCATGGACTGTAACCTGCCAGGCTCCTCTGTCCATGGGGATTCTCTAGGCAAGAATACTGGAGTGGGTTGCCATGTCCTCCTCCAGGGGATCTTCCCAACTCAGGGATCAAACCCAGATCTCCCACACTGTAGGCGGATTCTTTATCATCTGAACCACTAGGGAGGGCCATGTGAATATACCCTATCATTTTAATCAAAATAAGATAAGGGTTTTGTTTTGTTTACTTTTTTGAAACTTTACCGTCAGGGTGAGTGTGTAGCATGTCATATAAACAACCTGAAAAATCAAAACAGAATGGTACATCTGTGCCTTTGTACCCAGAGAAATCATTGAGTTTCGGGTACATTTTAATCTGAACAGTGACTAATGATGCAAGTGAGATGTAAACTATGAAGCATACAAGATTGTTAATTGTCTCTGTACCAGGTAAACCCGAAGAATGTGTGCATGCTAAGTCGTGTCCAACTCTTTGCGACCCCATAGCCTGTCAGGCTCCTCTGTCCACGGACTTTTCCAGGCAAGAATACTG